AAAATGGGGACAGTAATGTTCATTGGCCACAAGAGAATCTAGGAAGGTAAGTATGGGAAGGGCCCAGGCCAGTATTGGGACTCCGTGCTTGGACACGTTCCCTCCTCCTCTCCCTTCTCTTCCTCTTCCTGCCCCCGCCCCCACTCCCACCCGCTGCGTTCCATGGCCAGAGTTGGAGTAAACAGTTAAAAACTAGAATGCGAGTAGTAAGCCAGGTGAAAGAGGGAAGGGCAACAGGTAGAGCATGGCCGATGAAGGCTCTAAGTCAGGGGAAGAGGGGCATCAAAGGCCACTGCAGGGCAAGGGAGTCTTCCTATTGCAAAGGACTTGGTGACTCCAGCCAGAATGATGAGACTTAATTTTGTCTCTGGCAAATAACTGAAAATCAGGAGGCCAGAGTTCCAGTCCCTACTCAGTACCTTGAGCCTCTAATTCCTCCTCTAAATGAGGGGGTGGAGGGCTCGCTTCCAAGGTCCCCGATCCCGGTGTTCCAGCAGCCTGCGGCTTCACTTATAAAAATCACAAGGCTTTAAGCTGGTGGACAGGAACATAAAATTAAGATGAGGTCAGAATATTTGAAATTGGGACTGACTCTTAAATTCCAAGACCTAAAATTAATTAAGTCATTAGCTGGTCAGCGAAGCAGGAGACGCCACCCAAAGGATATGTAAATTAATGCTTTCAAAGGAGTTTGCATTTTAAAAGCCCCCTAGGGCTCTTACTACCACCTGCCCCGCCCCCTTTGCCTAAAACTACAAAGCAAAGGAGGAGTGTTGGGGTTGTTTGTTGTTTGTTTGTTTGTTTGTTTTTAAGGAGTTTCTTCAGTAAATAGCAAAACTGATAAACCTAACCATTTTTGGAATGAAGCCTACTACATATTTTCTTGTGGCTTCTATTGGAATAAGAATGGGGGAAGGTCCACAGTATCTCCATACAATGGATATTCTCTCAGCACTGCTAGGAAATGGGTGTAAATTGTAGGAATGGAGCAGGGAGGAAATATAAGGTTTGGGGGAGGTGCATCTTGCAGGATCTTGCAAACAATAGGCACTCACTAACTAACTCCCTTCTGCTCCCTTCTCAGTTAGCAAGTAGCTTTAAAGGATTGGCTCAGCTTTTAGAAACACTCCAATTCTGAAGGAAAAATAAGAACCATCACATCTTACCCAAATAGATAATCAGTGCTGAAAAAGTGACCTACCATATCTAATAACCTTAGCAGTTCCTACTTTGAAAAACAACTACCCTCCTCCCCGTCTCCCCAAAAAAAGGAATGTTGTGTCTGCAACAAGGAGTAAAGATAAAAGAGTGAAATCCCACAGGATCCTAACTTGTTTTGCACTTCTCCGCAGAAATGTAAGCATGTCCTCGTGAAAGGTGACACGCTTTGAAAACCCAGGCAGACCACATGTCGTATGGAGTTAAGAGAACAGAAGAACACATTTCACAAGAAAGCCATGGTCTGATAGCTCAGGGTTTACAAACATTTCACAATTTGCCATTACCGTTTCCAGTGGAAGCACCAGGATTTTGGTTTGCATGATGAATCTGCTCAAGCGATAAATTCAAGCAAGAGTAGAATTTATTAATGTCTTCACAAACACACCCCATTACAGTGGGTACAGTCTCTACAGAACTGGATTTTGATGTGGTTCCTGCATGTAAGAAGTATAGACTATTTTCCTTTTCCATTCAATAAAACCATGTCCTCAGGATCCTGTGAATCCCAAGCACTGGAGATTAAAAAGTATAAAATACTGACCCTGCCCTCCAGGCACTCACAGTGGCTAGTGTTCCAGTAAGCTCCTTTTCTCCTAATTCACTATTTACATACTCGCTTACTAGCATGTATTCATTCTAGCACAGCCAGAACATTTTCATGCCATAAATTATACTATTATTTCTTCTCTAAATAAGCATTTTGTTAACAATTGTATAAAGCAACTGGTTGGTTCAGAACCGTGCAGGACTGAATTAATTTAAATGCAAAATGTGTCCTAATGAACTCAAACAACCATCCCGTATTTATGGAAATCTATGCCTCTGGGGCAACACCCTTCAGAGGGTTAGAACCTACAAAATCCTGGGGGCGGATGCTCAGTGCCGCTCAAGTAGGAAAAGGGAGTTGTGTCATTCAGCTAAAAGAATGAAGAATGTTTAACTTAATAGGCTTGGAGGATTGAATTCTACACTTAGAGGAATCTTTTTTTTTAAGATTCATTCATTCATTCATTCATTCATTCATTCATTCATTCATTCATGATAGACATAGAGAGAGAGAGGCAGAGACACAGGCAGAGGGAGAAGCAGGCTCCATGCTGGGAGCCGGACGCAGGAAGCAGGATGCAGGACTCATCCCAGGACTGGATCCCAGGACTCCATCCCGGGACTCCAGGATGGCGCCCTGGGCCAAAGGCAGGCGCCAAACTGCCGAGCCACCCAGGGATCCCCCACTTAGAGGAGTCTAAAAAGTAAAGCAACCACTGTGCCTGAAATCTTGTATGTTTGGATTTATAATTCCCTTACTACCTCTACTCCCCTCGAGTTGAGTACTTAAAAAGAACCTTCCAAGTAGCATTTTCCTAAAATACCAGATGTAATTACATGTCTACTATGTTGATCTGGGATAGTTAACTGTGGAGTATCACGGCATCCCCTACTTGCTGGTATAGGTAAGAGGTCAGAGAACCGGGGTACAGTCTGTCATTGTCACCAAGGTGTGTGTGCCATTGGGCAAGTCACTTCACCTGTGTAGGCTGATAGACTGCAAAATCTTATTTTAAAAAAATGAAAGAAATGCAATCTTTTATCTCAGAAAGAATAGAGAAAAATCAACTGCCAATTTTGTGTCTTGATAGATTTCTAGAAAGACAGTTTCCTCTAAACATGGGGATGAGAGTTTTCTAAAAGCAGATTAAAGATCCTCTTAAACTGGTGACTTTTTACAGACGTGCATAAAGCAGAGGTAAACCATAACTTCTTCTGAATTTTACAAAGGAACAATCGTGATGCCTATGTTCACCCCAAAGGAAAATATAAGATTGTCTAAAAGATGGGAAAACAGAAGTGAACATATTCTCTTTGGGATAATCATTTACATTCTTTCCAGCCTCGCACTGAACTACTGGCTCTGTAAGAAGTACATATTTTCTTTTCTCCTACATCTGCCCTTTGAATAACAGGTTTGAGCTTCTCCAGCCCCACCCCATCTTTTAAATCAGCCAAAGAACACTGCTACAACTGACCAAACAGCGCTGGCATCTGCCAGGGAAGGGAAAGCAAATCTTCAGTAAGTGCCACCTGCCAACCACCACCCCCCTCCCAAGCAACCCTGAGCCCACACTCCCATTAAGTGAGCCCCTCCAGCTCTCCCCTCCACAGTCACACCCTAGTAAGGGATGCAATGTGATGTTATCAGACCAATTTTCTCAGTGACTAAAAATTTACAGAGCAGGATCTAAGCAAGAAATAACAAGATAAGCTTCCTGCTTGACTAACTTAAAAACCTATCACTATTAACTTTAAAACATTCATTGGGTTTTCTGAAATTTCACTTACAGGCCCATATCCACCAATAAAGTTCAGAAAATGCAAGAACTTGAGATTTTTTTAAATATACTTTTTCTAAATACTGGAGAGTGAAAAAAGCAGAAATCTTTGACCAATCATCCCTGGTTTTCTGTACAGGAATAATCATAAACACCAATGAACACCTAAAAGTGAAGTAGGTGAGACTTTAGGATGTCTGGAAAGATGAAACCCAAGAAACTATTTGCAGGGGAAATAGTAGAGAGATATCATTTATTGAGCACCTACTATATGCCAGTATGCTGAGCACTAGATATACATCTACATAACTAAACCTCAGAGAACCTAAGAAGCAAGGTAATGTAACTGAAGATCTCATTTCTTTGCCTCATTTTGCAGGTAATGCAACTGAACATCAGTTGAGGTTGGACACCTGGGCCAAGGTCATGCCGTCAGTCAACTGGAGAATGGGGATTTGAACCAGTCTCACTCACTCCAAAGCCCAAGTGCTTAATTCTTGTGCAAAAAAAAAAAAAAAAAGAGATACACTTCTCATCCCCAAATAAGTGTTTTTCAAAAACCACACCTTCCATTAGAAAGATAAAACATCCTAGAGTAAATATAGAGCCTTTTCCGACAACTGCCAATTCTAAATCTTTAAACTAAAATTGACTTTTTAAATAAAAGTGTGGATTAAGATGCCTGACTGCAATAACCCCCACCCATCTGATTGCCATCTACCTGCCTATCTACAGCTCCACCAAAGTGCATCTGCTAATTCCCCGGGGCTCTGAACCCCGCACAAGTTAAAGCTTCATCCTCAGCGCCTAAGAACTATTTTTCAGAAATTATGCCAAAGCCATGGGCGGTTTTAGTTACTGGGCACTTCAAACTACATGACAATACAGATTTAGCTAAATAAGTCCTATTGTTTTTAGTTCCAAACATAAAACAACAGATATCCTGTAATTCTACAAGTCGAAAAACTGCAAACGGAGTAAGTACAGAGTACACTTTTTGGTGGTCACGAAGATGATTCGGTGTGGTTAGGAAGATGGGTCTGTTTTCCTCTCGCGGTCGGACAACAAATGAAGAGATAAACAGGGGGAACATCGGCCTCCTCCCCAACCCAACCGTGAAAGCACAGCAGCTAAACACCATTCATTTACACCGACTGTTTGAAGGAGCCTTTCGAGCCCTTTGCGCACCAGCAGGCACACTCAGCAGGTGTCCCCGACGGCTGCAGAGCCCTCGAGGATGGGACCTGGGGCTGGTTGGCTTTTAACTCGGTTTGAAATCCTGGACCGAGTGCGTCCAGCCCCGGGGACCTGGGGGGGAGGCCGCCGACCCGGAGCAGTGGGCTTGCGCGGCGGGCAGCGCCGGGGGAGCGCGGGTCGCCGAGGGGGCCGCCCCGCACCTGGGGGTGCGCCCCGCCCCGCCCCGCCCGCGCCCGGCGGCTCCAGGTAACTCACCAGGATGCCCATCACGTCGGTCCAGAGCCGGGAGAACGCCTCGGACATGCCGGCGCGCCCCTCGGGCTCGGGCTCGGGGTCGGGCTCGGGTCGGGCTCGGGGTCGGGCTCGGGCTCCGGCTCGGGCTCGCGCCCCGGGCCGGCCGCTCCCGCGTCCTCCATGGCCGCGTCCCGGGCCCCCGGGCGCCCTCGCTCCGCGCCCGCGCGCCGCCGGCCCCCGCCGCCGGTCCCCGCCCGCCGCGTCAGCCGGCCGCGCCCCCGCGCCCCCGCGCCCCCGCGCCGCACGCCCCGGCCGCCCCGGCCGCCCCCGCGGGGGCCCCGCGCCGGCGCCTGCACCTCGGCTCCCGGGGCGGCGGGCCGCGCGCCGGGCAACTCCGCCAACTTTCCCAGCCCGGCTCCCGGGGCCGCGGGGGAGCAGGAGGCAAAGTCCGCACCACCGCGCCGCACGGCGGGGAAGGCGGGAGGCCCGGGCGCCGCTCGGGCCGCGCGGAGGCGCCTCCGCCTGGGCCGGGACCGGCCGCCGGAGGCCCGCGGCCCTCCCCTCGCGGCGAGGCTGCGGCGAGGCTGCGGCGAGGCTGCGGCGGGCCCCGCGGGGCTGAGCGCCGGGCCTCGGCCCCGGGCGGCCGCCGCTCGGGACCCCTGCGTCGGAAATGAGCTCTTCCAGCTAGCTCCACGGGACTCTCCCCTCGCCGCCGAAGAAAGCGTTTAGCAACAAAAGGTGCTCTGATGTCAGGCTCTTTGCATGGAAATGAGCCACGGAAGGGGAACAGATCGCCTGTTGAAAGGGCCGCCGCGCCGCGCCGCGCCGCGCCTCCGCCCGCCCTGGCTTCGCCGCGCGCCGCCCCGGGGACGCGCTCGGCCCCGGGCGCCCCGGGAGAGCCCCCGGCAGAGCCCCCGGCAGAGCCCGCCGGGTCCGCCCTGCCCTGCCGGGGCCGGCCTGCTGTCAGCCAACACTTGCAAAAAAAAAAAAAAAAAAAACAAGTGGGAGAGCGTGGGCACGAGCCGTCGTGGGCCCCGTTTTTACGAGGAGCGGGGCGGTGGGGGCGTCCTGGTGCCCGGGGGCCCACAATGCCCCCAGCGCTAGGGCTTTCCGCTATTTGGGGGAAATGCGCTCTGGGTTTGAACGGTTGCCTCATGGCGAGGGCACAGGGAAGGGCCATTTTCAAAACTAGGTATCACTGTTGTAACCACGTAGCTATAGCACACACGGGGGGGGGGGCGGGGAGGGGTGTGTTTTTCCAAGGGCAAGAGCCGTGACGGATTTATTTTATGAGGCATATGGCCCGGTAGAGGTATTTATCCTCTTGTGATTCGTTCTTTAAAAACCACTCAGAGAGTTTTCCATGGGAGATGACAATACACCTCACATCTGATTTGATGATTGATCACTTGGTGAAACAGTTAAGAAACTCAAGGAAACCACCCCCGTGTTAAAGGGCTGAGAGTAGTCCCCACCCCCCCCCCCAAAAAAATGCAGGCGAGATGCTCCAGGGAGAGAGCCCTTGCTTGCTTTAGAGGCCTCTCGTGGTTTTTGTTTTGTTTTGTTTGTTTTGTCTTTCCTTCTCAGTCCACAGGGGAGAAAAGGGGGGAGATAAGAGCATGTCCTCGAAATCCCCCCTACTCAAAAGCAGTGATTATTGGGAGCACCTATCAGTGCCAATGGATGAATAGCCCCTACCAGAAAGTTCAGAACTGAAAAGCTTTTCCAAAAGTAATTAGATTTGGAAGTATGATCCCATATGGCAATATTTTTTGAAAGAAAAAGAAATGAGAAAGTTTCCCCTGGAGAGTAGGGAAGCATCATGGTGAAGGGTGGAAAGTGCCGGACACTTGAGTCAACCTGACCATGCCTGTGCTTTCCTGGGTTGATGCAGGAGGTATACCAGATGTGTGCTCTAAGAATCTGGGAACTCCGATAAGTTCAGCGACAGAAGTCGTGGGCTTTATGTAAAATATCATTATTATCACATCTATAGAGACATGAAAAGCAAATGATGGAAAAAACTGAAAACCACCTTTCAGAGTTGATTTTACTAGTGTATTTAAGAATGTCAGTGTGTTAACCATGTAGGACTTTACTAAATTCAAGAAAATACATAGAACCACGCCAGGTCTGCCAGGAGGCAGCTTGTTCTCCACATAAATACTTTCCTGCCAAGTGACTGAGCAAGAAGCCTACCAAGCAGGGTGGCAGGGGCTGAGTTGGAGGAAGGCTGAGTGTCCAGCACCAATCATGACTCTTCTTGATTCATCAGACAACCTAGGGGCAAAGCATTTAACCTTTCCACGCTATGGTTGCCCAATCCTAGATGTGGCAAGGCCTCACTAATTGCCACCCGACTCCTCAGAGGTGATGATATAGTTCAGGGCCATCCAAAGATAGGTACTTTTTAATAGCAACGTGTATGCACCATCAGTATAATTAAACCTTAGCCAGCATTTTGGCACTTCTAGAAATCAACCTATCCTAGATATTGAAGTTCCTTTTCTCCATGCTTCCTAGTAAATGTATAGGAAAATGAGGTAAGTAATATTTGGCGGGGTTGGGAGGGGGGATGTTGATTCCTATCATTTTGCTGTCTATAGATAACTAAGGACTTTTGAGGAGTCACTCTTCAACTTCTATAGTCTTTTCTCCTTTAATTAATGTCAATCTTTACTTTCCAAAATTTCTTTAGGGGCTTTTTAACAAAATGTAAAAGAAGGATCATCATCAACATCATGGGCATCATCATACTATTTCAGATCCCATACAGTCCCGTTTACTAAGAACTTTTTATAATAGACTTACATCCCATGATAGCAGGAAAGCATTTTGGAGGTGATCAGAGTGAAATCCCTCATCTCCCAGGTGAAGAAATGGGCTCCAGAAAACTTGAACAACCAGTCCAAGTGAACATAGCTACCTGGCAGGATCAGTCAGATTATTTGATTATTTTTAAAGTTCTTTAATCTCCAGCAAAATATATTTGTCCTTACAAAGATCTGCAGGGTAGGCAAGTGTAGATGTGCCACTAATGACGTATCTATGGAAAAATACACAGGAATCCTACTCTCCTCTTTTTCCTTTCCACCCATCTCTCTCTCTCACGTAGCTAATTGGAATTGTTACAGTGTTGGTGAATGACTTCCAAGGAAAGAAAAGGATCTAGAAGATTTTCCAAAATCTAGTGGTGACCCAAAAGTTGACCGTGAAATAGATTCTGTGGGTCCTAATAAATATTTATTGCAATGAATGAGAGTATCAGATTGTATTCATAGAGAGTGAATACTGATAATACCTATCTCACTAAGCACTTCCTTGAAAATTAGTCATAGTGTTGCACATATATGTATGTGTGCACATATATATGTACATATATACAGACATATACATACAAATGTAAATATGGCTTGCTGTGTAAAAAGTGGTTCTTGCTACAAACCAGGATTTTAAAAGATTAAAAGTCACTAGTCCAGAAATTATAGGGTGTTGCCTGCATTTAGGTCATCATCCTGACATAGGAAGGATAACCAGTCTATTACTTGACATTAAAGGCAGAGTTTGGAGCAGAAAGCCCAAATATAATGGGGTCAGGACAGCTGGGTTTGAATTTTCACTCAAGTTTTTGTAAGCCATTGGGCAAGTTATTTTTTTCATCTGTAAAATGGGATAATTTCACCTATTTAATATGATTGTTGTGAGGCTATCTGCAATAATAAGGGCAATAATTCTCTGTTAATTATAACCTTTCCCCACCTTTCCCCTCCCTTAGCTTTTTCTTCCCCTATCTACTCATACCATGAGGTGAGAGCTATAAGCAGGAAATTTCCTTGTTCATACCTTAATCCACACAAAGGAGTAGTTCTTAGTCTTGGAATGTGGTTGTTGAGAAAAGGGTAGGGAGGTCACCTCTGGCAGGGTGGGGTGATGAGGAGTGATCAGTTTTTATGATCAAGGTAGTAATAACAGCAAGAACAACATCTGTCATTTCACATCTACTCTAGGCTAAGCATTATGTTTGACATTTTAAAAACATTTTAGTTAAATGGAGTTTATGATTTTTCACCTTGATCTAACCCTCCCACCCTGCTCATTTCTTATTTCAGTACTAGTTATATCCATGTATTTGTTCAAGCTACTAAAGTCAAGAGACCTGCTTGAGTCCTTCCCCTCACTTACCAACACTCGTGTCTAAGCCATGGATAAGCCCTGTTGATTCTACTTCCTAGATACTTGTCAAACTCCTCCACCTCTTTCCATCTCCACTGCCACTGTCTTAGTCATTATTACCAGCACTTCTTGTGATATTTTATGTAGATCACTGCTTCTCAACGTGTAGACTTAATTACAGAGGCATTGGCATCACCCAGGAACTTGTTGGAAATGTGCATTTTGGGTCCCTGCCTCAAGCCTACAGAATGAGACAACCTAGGAGTGGGACCAGCCATCTGTACTTTAATACTCCCCACCCACCCACCAAGGTGGTTGTGATATCTGCTCACTTTTGAGTGCCATTTGGAACAATGGAAATGCCAGATTAAGGGAAAAAAGCACATTGCTGAGGAAATGTGAAGTTTTACAATATAATATACTGAAAAGCCATACCAGGAGATTGCTTTAGAAAAATCAGTTGGGGGATGCCTGGGTGGCTGAGTGATAGAATGACCTTTGGCTTAGGGCATGATCCTGGGGTCTTGGGATCAAGTCCTGCATCGGGTTCCCCGAAGGAAGCCTGTTTCTCCCTCTGCCTATGTCTCTGCCTCTCTCTCTCTGTCTCTCATAAGAAAATAATTAACACCTTAAAAAATGAATTGGTAAAAGAAACTATCATAAGTGAATGGAGATCTCCAAACTAGACACTTGTTTTTTTTTTTTAATTTTTTTATTTATTTATGATAGTCACAGAGAAAGAGAGAGAGGCAAAGACATAGGCAGAGGGAGAAGCAGGCTCCATGCACCGGGAGCCCGACGTGGGATTTGATCCCAGGTCTCCAGGATCGCGCCCTGGGCCAAAGGCAGGCGCCAAACCGTTGTGCCACCCAGGGATCCCTGGTTTTATTAAGATGTTATTTATTTGAGAGAGAGAGAGAGTGTGTGTGTGTGTTGCACACACATACACAAGCAGGGGAAAGGGGCAGAAGAAGAGGAAGAAGCAGACTCCCTGCTGAGCAGGGAGCCTGATTTGGGGTGGGGGGGGGGGCTTGAACCCAGGACCTAG